ACAGTCTATTGTTGAAAACCTACCTGATTTATAGTCCAATCAAACATGTCCACCCCAGCTTCGATCTGCTCCAGAAAACAGGAGGCTCCATCTTCAAATGTGCAGGTCACAGGAATACTCCCTGGTAAAATGAACAACCAAATGTAAGAATACTTCAGGGCCAATTTAAATTTAATGTATAGTTTGTAATTTCTTTAATTAACTCATCCACTCCTGAAACCAAATTTGAACTCGTCCCTTTCAAAGGGTGGAATAGTTTATGATGAAATATCAGGGGTGACCGAGTTAATCTTACTATATTGGTGGTCACCAAAGAAAACACTAAATTAAATATCCACAAACTAATCATAATTTGGTTAACTCATTCACCCCTGAAATTTCATAATGAACTATTCCAACCTTTGAATTGGAAGAGTTCAAATGTGTCTTCAGGGATTGAACAAGTTAATAAAGTGAATTCAGAGATACTAGAAAAGACCTGTTCATTTTACCGCCGAATTATACATTCATGTATATTTCTTACATTTCATTCAGCTTTTCGCAGCGAGTCGGAAATCAAGGCCAGACAAACATGTTGGATGGACAAGCATTAAAAAAAACCTCCTGAACCCTTACCATCTGGGCTTTCACACATTATGCCCGTGAATCCTGCAACACAGGTGCAGACGAATCCTACAGCATTGTTGTCATTGGTACAAGTTCCACCATTCCTGCAAGGCATTGCAAGGCATCCTACAAGAAAATAAATCAGTTGTTAATCCTGAATTATTTTGACACTTTCAAGTTTCCAGCTAGAGAGCAAAAAATTTTTTTTTTTGGAAATTATTTTTATCAATGACTTGGTACCTAGCCAATATTCAGGGTTTGAGAACAATATTCAACCATATTAACTTGTTAACCCCTGAAATTTCATAATGAACTATTCCACCTATGGATTAGAAAAGTTCAGATGTGTCTTCAGGGGTGAACGAGTTAAGGATCCCTGTTCTACTGCAGATATATTTTTTTATATATACAGTTACCTCCCCTTAATTTTGTTTAAGATATAAATTGTAGCACAGTTGGGCCAGCGTAAACGTATTTGCATTGACCAGGTAGCTCAATTGGTTAGAACAATACTTATAACAATCTGGAGTCTGGGGTTCGAATCCTGGTCTAGCCGAACGGTGTTCCAACACCAACACTGTTGTTGGTTACGTTATTTCATCTTTATTGTTTTTATAGAAGTCCTCCAAGGTATGGTCTTCATTTCAGAATTAATTCATCATAGATTTAGTCATGTCGGAGAAAGGTTTCCAATGCGTCTTTTACAGTTTTTGGCATTGGTACTGGGATCACCCCTAAAGTCCATTTGAACTCTTCCAATTCAAATGGTGGACTGGTTCATTATGATTTTTTAGGGGTGAATGAGTGATTATTAGCAGTGTTTGAAATATCTGTATTTAAAATTAGTTAAGTTATCAACAATGTATTGTTGAGCAATACAAATCCTGCTAATCATCCTAGGAAAAAATTAAAGCTATAAAGTGGAAACAGATTTTCTATTTATAGTAACAGTGTGACCTTGACCTGTGACCTAAAGAATCAAGACAATGCAGGTTTTTTTCCTTCTCGATGATGAGTTGCTGATCCTTCATCTTATTTAATTATTAAAATACCATAATTTCATATATTATATAATCATGATCAACCATTGAGGACTATGTTTCGATTTCCGCCGTCATATTATCACATTTCAGGTCCATATATTTACATTTGCATGGCATTGTCACTATATAGCCTCTTTGAAAGCTGCGTCGTTGATGGGTTTTAATCACCATTCATCACAAGACACAATTCTTAGCGTATCAATACAACACTGACCGGGACTACAATATCCAACATAAATAAACACGACGGCTGCTGAAATATCGCTGGGCATTGTGAGATTTGACAATGTCATTGTAAATTTATGTGCAAAATAAAAAATAAAATGAACAAGAGGCCCATGGGCCTTAACGATGACCTGATGTATTTATACAGAGAGTTGATTCTGTTTTTAACATGAACAGAAATATTATTCAAAGTGACAAAAAACAATAAAACCACCTTATTCAATATCTAGCATACAAATTTAAGACTAACTAGAATTATGTCAGTCTGACATTTAAGCCGCTCACCACTTTAAATTGAATTGCTTCAGTAAGACGTTGAGCATCAATATCTTCTATAATACCTCAGATATGTGTTCTGTATTCTGTTAATTGAAAATCAGGTCATGTGATGATGATGCCTTTGGGATTTCCAAAATCAATCACCTCTTAAATGATGCCTTAAAAACATTTCTCCCTCTCCTCTTTTTTCACCCTCTTTCAGTGTGACGCATTGTTGTAATTTTCATTAACTAGCATCCTCCAATGATGTGACATGAGCATTTATGTGCAGAATGCCAATCGGTGAATGGATAATAAAGAATAGGTGCATTTTGTGATTGTGAAATGAAGAATTAACAGAATGGGGGAAAAATACATGGAGAAAAGAGACATTGTACTCCTTTTATTTTTATTTATTATTTATTCATATGAATAATAATTATTAATATATGTAGTGACTTTATTTACTGTCATTGAATATACAAAATCTCAAAAATGTTCTTGGAATATATTTGAATTATATTTCTCAATGCGACTTTATATTAATTACTAACGTAAGAGTTATTTCCCTTACACCGGATTGGATAATATTTTGACACAGCGCGAATTCTTGTCAAACAGCAGCGGCAGTTGTGTCATGTTCTTAAATTGTTACACTTTCATAAATAAATACACCAGAAATAGCATGCTGTGTTACAGAAATGTTTGATAAGCATACACAGTTTACATATCGTCTCGTCTCAGAGCCATNACCCTACAGCCCTTGGGGGTAGGGCTGGCTCAAAATTTTCAAAGTATCAAACTGTCAACTCAAGGTTATAATTCCAATCAAGTTATTAACATGTAATATTCAAAGTATCATTTGCCATTATTAACCATAATAAATCCCCCCCCCCCTCCTTCCCCACGGGGTAAACGTGAGACCCTAGTGTCATAAACTTCAAGACCCTTCCATCTATGTATCAAACTGTTAACTTATACTGATATGGCTAACCTAAATTGAATTACTTCCAATGGAAATTAAACAAATGTTGGTCCAAAATGTGATTTCCCTATATAAACTATAGTAATGTTTACCCCCTCCCTAGGGGGAAACGCGAGACCCAAGGGTCAAGAAATTCACAATTTTGGTTAAGCACCTTAAGACCCTTCCATCTATGAAGAGTATTTGATTCTACCATATCTTGGTCTTGAGAAGAAGATTTTTGAAATTTTAGTCAATTTGACTGTTTTTGACTCCGCCCCTCAGGCCCCTGGGGGCTTGAGACTAAACCGGCCACGATTTTTGTTGTCCTTTGTCCATGGAAGGTTCCTGCAAAATTTCATTGAAATTAGTTCAGGGGTTTTGGAGAAGAAGTCGAAAATGTAAAAATTTTACGGACACACGACGACGGACAAAATGCGATCGCAATAGCTAGGTCCCTTGAGACTTTGTCTCAGGTGACCTAAAAACACTTTTATTACAATGAAAACAAGACCAAGTTCTGCAATATCGTACAAAATGCACATCAGTTGAAATCACCAATGCCGGCAATGGAAACAATTTTAACGCTCATGCAATTTATCAGAAATATCGTCTGTTACACTGCACTGATCAACAGGGGTTCATTACAAATGTCGGAAAAACACATATTCTATAGACCTACTGACACATATGTTACAGACCTACTGATATAAGTCACAGCACACATAAAAATTTCAGAATTTGTAACGAACCCCCTGAACGAAGATTTTTTTCTTTCTTTTAATTTTCCCCCTTGTTGGCCCCTAACTAAACCCCCTAGGGGGGCACACCCTTATTTCATAAATCCATTGAGCCCCTGGCCCCAAGGATGCTCCATATCAAATTTAGTTAAAATCCTAAAATCCAATCATTCGTTCAGGAGATAAAGACTTTTAAAGGGAAAAGTTGACGCCGGATGACTGACACCGCGGTACGGCATAAGCTCACTTGCCCTTCAGGCAGGTGAGCTAAAAATCACATTTTGTCTCTTGTACATGATTTCAATGGTAGCATATTCCCAAGTCAAAGTTCCGATGTTTCTTTTTTCGATGGTCCCACAAAGATCAAAGTTTGACTGTATTAATATAGTATGTTACAATTCTTAATGCAATAATTATGATACTGTGAAATCACTAATTTTTGTGGGGTTTTAAAATTTCGTTGATTTAGTGACTACAAATCAGTTACAAGTTTGACATATAGTTGTCTCCGTATCATGCGAGTACTCTTTATCCATGAATTAATGTAATCCCTGATATGGCGTTTTTTGCAGGGGTTAATCACAAAATTTGGGCAATACAAAAATATGATTTCACAGTATATATGCTTCAAAATACCAACTTGACAGGTGTTAAATCAACACTACAAAGGGTTCTTTGTGGTGTAGAATAAGTCTATTTGTAAATTTAAAAGTTTTCAAAGTAAACAGTCAATCTTTTTTATCAATTTACCAAATGAAAGACATAAATGCAATGAAAGGTGACATTTGTGCGACTATAAACCCAGATATGTACTTCTTTATTCTGGTTTAATCTTTCCTGTCACAGTTGTCTCCCTTACCACATGTTCCTGTTTTCAGTTCCACGTCATCAATAGCAATGTCACCGCTCCAACCATCTCCTCGGACTCCAGTGATGTAGATCTACAAAGGCAGAAATAATTAAAAGCAATCAGCAGAGAAATCTCAACAGTAATAGCATAAGCATCCTCGATACTCTAGGGGATATGCTTATTTTCGCCAATTGCTGCACGCCTCGATTATATCAAGGCCAAAATGAAGACTCGTGTCCACTACATTTTGGATGAGACTAGGAGACTAGTTTGATCGCTTGGTGTACATCAAAAGAATCGAGGCCACGCAAGGGCCAGGGTGCAGAGAACAAAAGTGAGTATATTAACCCAAGTATGGAGGATGCACTTTGAACATACCGAGGCAAATAAAGAGTCACTTTACATCGTAACATGATAAAGACCTAAAGTGGTCTGCTATTTTATCTGGCAAAGATGTCACAGTCCGCCCGTGTGAACAGTTGCTGCTTCAAGCCATGTCCAATTCCAACTGCTCTTCATTTTGCTTACAAATGCAACATTTGACACCGATAAAGTTATAATATTCATTCTGCAAGGGCTATACCCCAAACCTTTTGGCTGCAATGATATGCATACCTCACGATAAAATACATATTGCAATACAATGCTTATAATATACGTTACCTATCATGATACAAATATGATTGAGTGCTGGATTTTATCGAGTTTTTGTCATAGTAAAGACTATGGATATATATGTTTGAATAATTTTTAGTACTTTTGGGTATGACTGCACAGTAGACCACATCTTTACTGAAGGATTAAAAAATATCAGTACACTTTTTTTAGAATTTGATAAAAATTGATTGATAATTGAAATACTGATGTATCATGATAGAGGCAAACAAAACATATTGATACAATACACAAGAAAGTATCGTGATATGAAATGATATATCATTGCAGCCCTACCAGACATCTTCCATTTATAGATATTCAATTCCCTTTGCCCAAAGATTCTCTAGAACAAGTTTGGTTAGGTTAAAATCCCTTCAACATTACAGAAGGAGAAGGAACTTTAATGTTTTTCTCTATTTCCCCTAATGGGTCCACTCATCTGCCCCAAAGAAGGGGGTCCACACACTTCAGTTTAAACAAAATTGATTCTTTTGTCCCTAAGCATGCTTCAGACTGCATTTGGTTTAAATCCCTTCACTTGTATAGTAGGAGAGAAAAAAATCCTTTAATTTCCCTATTGGGCCCCGCCTCTCCGCCCCCAGAGGGCCCATACCTTCCATGTATACAAAATTAAGGCTCCTTTGTCCAAAGATGCTCTAGGACAAATTTGGTAAAAATCCTTCAATTGGTGAAGATTTTTAAAGATTTACCTATTTTCCCCCTATTTGGCCATGCCCCTCTGCCCCCAGGGGGACCATACCCTCCGTTTATACAAAACTGAGAACCCTTTGGCTAATGATGCTCCAGACCAAATTTGGTCAAAATCCCTTTATCAGTACAAAAGGAGAAGGATATTTGATGTTTTCCTCTATTTCCCCTAATGGGCCCCACTCATCTGCCCTTAGAAGGAGGCCCACACACCTCAGTTTATACATAATTGATTCTTTTGTCCCTAATCATGCTTCAGACTGCATTTGGTTTATAACCCTTCACTTGTATAGCAGGAGAAAAAAATCCTCTATTTTCCCTATTGGGCCCCGCCCCTCCGCCCCCAGAGGGGCCACACCCTCCGTTTATACAAAACTGAGAATCCTTTGGCCAATGATGCTCCAGACCAAATTTGGTCAAAATCCTCCGAGCCATTCAGGACAAGTAGCATTTTAAAGGAAAAAGTTGACGGACGACAGACGCTGCGACATGGGAAAAGCTCACCTGGCCCGAAGGGTACATTACCAGGGGTTTTGCCAGGTGTTTATAGAGTCCGATATAGGGACCCATTCCCAATTGAAAAATGACCCTGCATTTTCAAAATTTCAGTCTTTATTTGTCCAATGGGATTAAAAAGCATGTTAATACAGGTTTCCAGTCGTTATAATTGTGCAATGTTCAAAATATTACCATCCTAGAAGGAGCATTCAAAATATATAAATAACGAAAATTTGAAATTGAATAAGAGGCCAATGGACCTTAACGGTCACCTGATATATTTATACAGAGAGTTGATTTTGTTTTTAACATGAACAGAAATATTATTCAAAGTGACAAAAACAATAAAACCACCTTATTCAATATCTAGCATACAGATTTAAGACTAAAAAGTATTTGAAACTAGCACCTCTGATTCTAAACAAGGAAAATGAAGAAATTTTAGCACACCGACTCCTTTGGGCCCCACCCTACAGCCCCGGGGGTAGGGCTGGCTCAAAATTTTCAAAGTATCAAATTGTCAACTCAAGGTTATGATTCCAATCAAGTTATTAACATGTAATATTCAAAGTATCATTTGCCATTATAAACCATAATAAATTTTGCCCCCCACCCCCACTCCTTCCCCAGTGGGTAAACGCGAGACCCTAGGGTCATAAACCTTAAGACCCTTCCATCTATGAAGAGTATTTGATTCTACCATATCTGGGTCTTGAGAAGAAGATTTTTGAAATTTCAGTAAATTCGACCCTTTTTGGCCCCACCCATCAGCCCCTGGGGGTCAGTCAGGGCTGATATGTGCTTATTATCAAACTGCTACCTAATACTGATAATGCTAACCCAAATTGAATTACTTCCAATGGAAATTAAACAAATGTTGGTCCAAAATGTGATTTCCCTATATAAACTATAGTAAAGTTTACCCCCTCCCCAGGGGGAAACGTGAGACCCCAGGGTCAAGAAATTCACAATTTCGGTAAAGCACCTTAAGACCCTTCCATCTATGAAGAGTATTTGATTCTACCAAATCTGGGTCTTGAGAAGAAGATTTTTGAAATTTCAGTCAATTTGACCCTTTTTGGCCCCGCCCCTCAGGCCCCTGGGGGCTTAGGACTAAACCAGCAACTATTTTTGTTGACCTTTGTCCATGGAAGGTTCCTGCAAAATTTCATTGAAATTGGTTCAGTGGTTTTGGAGAAGAAGTCGAAAATGAAAATTGTTTACGGACGCACGACAGACGACGACGGACAAAAGGCGATCGCAATAGGTCACTTGAGACTTTGTCTCAGGTGACCTAATCAACAAAAGCATTAAAAACTAATGTTTATTTTTACTGCAAGAAACAGCTACTGTATTGTAGAGGGCATTTTGCTAATCACATTATTCTTGTACAATTGTGGGATCATTGATAATATTTTCCAATTTTTGTCAAATGCTGGCAATATTTTCCAAATTCCTGCTCAGGGGCACTTTCCCAAAATAGCTGGCAAAACCACTGGTTTCAAAAGGAGGTAATAGGTGGTATTTCCCCATAATGCATCACTGTACAAACCTGTCCATTGTTCATAGCAGGGATTTGCACAGATGCCGTCTCCCAGTGGTTTCCCTGCTTTCCAGCTCGTGACCACAATGTCATAACCTGCTGACCATCCAAGTGAGAAATCTTCAGAATGCCAATGTCGCTTCCATACATGTGATAGGCAAAGGACAGACAGCGCTGAGCAGCTGTAAGCACACGTCAAAATTAACATATATCACAAGATTTTCTTCTGGAAAGCTGAAAGAGGTCTGCTAAAGAGTACATACAGGTGGATTTATGTTTGAAGGAATATCATGTTTCAACTCATTCTCCCCTGAAATTTCATAATGAACTAATCCAAGCTTTTAATTGGAAGAATTCAAATGTGTCTTCAGGGGTGAATGAATTCAATATACAGCATGTAAGTAGTCTTAAATATTATCCAATATATTAGGTTTGTGTAAGGGATTGTTTCTACAAGCAGTTGACTTGTATGTTCACTTATATCTGTTGTTCAAGGATAAAATGTACCCCAAAAACTATCAAGTTTCTGTTTTACCTCCATTAAATGTATCCCCTACCAAAAACAGTACAGATTCTTTTTTACAACAATAAATGTTGACCTTGAAAACGTTTTAAACCCCATTGCACCTCTACATAACAGTGTATATCACCTCTACATAACAGTGTATATCACCTCTACATAACAGTGTATATCACCTCTACATAACAGTGTATATCCACTCTACATAACAGTGTATATCCCCATGTCAAATTTCAAGAAGAATCTCTTGGATTCTGAGATAAAGACTGTAGCTCTCATGATCTATTTACGGTACAGTGACCTTGACCTAAATAACATTTTAAACCCATTTTGATCTACATATCACAGTTTATCACCATATCAAATTTCAACAAGATTGGTATTATGGATTCCGAGATCTCCAGAAAACGAAAGTGTGGCTGGACAGACAGATAGACGTATAGACACCTGCATCTCTGATGTACCCCACCCTCACTCCCCATATAAAGAGTACCCTCCATCTTATCTGCAAATTAAAGACATATGTATTTTACTCCTACCAGCAAATCTGGTTTTCTGACCCCAAAGTCACATAATGAATAGATTGTTTACACATAAATCAATCAACACAACGTTAAAAATGGGGGTTTAAAAACATGTCATCAGCTCACTTACAATGGTTACCAACTCCTGAAAAATTCTCATATAATAAATATGTTAATTATGGCCTGTGAGTATAAAATTGACCAGTAAAGTCATGCTTCTGATGGATGTTTGAAAACACTTGATTATCGCAACTTACAATTGGTACCCAAATCCACGTAAAACTGTGCAATATCTGCATATCGTATTCTAGAACCGGAGGCATCAAATGAGGAGGCATCAATGAAAGCGTACTTGTTTCCTTCAAATGCCGATGATGGCCCCGTATCAACGCTGGGGGTGCTACCCTGTAAAAGATTTAGTAACATAAAATCAGAATTTTCTAAGCCTTATGGATAATTATGAAAATCAATGCTTTTTCTTGACCATTTATCTATGCATACATCAATCATTAATCACCACTGTAGACCATAGTGGACTCGTCTAGATCAATGCATGCTAGAGTCTACTAAAGTTATAGGGGTGAAAGGGTTAAATACTGTAAACAAACATTTTAGCGGTAAAACCTATTTTTTATGCGTTAGATATTGCACAAAATCATGATTTTGCCAATTTAAAGGGCCTGATCGTGGAAAAAAATCTAAATTTGCTAAAATGGTACATATGTTTAAAATACTTCCTTATGAAAGATAGCGATTCAAATTTTGGTGAAATTCACTCCCTGGAAGTAAAAATTATTATTATATTAACGAAATCCTAAATCGTCACCCAACAGTCTAAAACTGTCAATTGACCCAGATCAGTGATGTAATTTTAATTACATGTCCCAGTACGACTTTGTCTGGGCATACTGTAACCGTTTTACCCAATTCTGTCTGTGTGTCCGTCTGCTGGTTAAAGATTCTGTAATTTTGGGTAAATCTAGAAAAGTACAAGTGGTAGGCAAAAGAAACTTGAAATGATGTATTATAATGGATAATGCAAAACAAATATGACATCAGGTTGTGTGAAGCGTTAATTTTCTGACATTTTTAGGGTAAAAAACACAATTTGTACTTCGCAAGATTTGAGAAAAGGTCTACTGCAAATAAAGCAGGGGAAAGGCAGCATTCATGTTTCTAGTTTTTTTTTTTTTTCCAAACAATCTATTTGCCCAGTGATGTATCTACATTTATTTTGTGTGTATCATTTCCAGTTTTGGTAAAACTAGCGGGTCCAACCATGTTACAGTATTTCAATATTTCCAGAAAGGTTTTGGTTCCCAACAAAATTTTCTGACTTGCATTGCAGATTTATAAGTTGGCCCAAGAGGGCCCAGACGCAGAGTAGGATAGGGTGAAAAACAGATTTTATATTTGGTTATGATTATTACATATGTACTACAGTAAATTCACTAGATTGCCTGAAACATAGTGATGCAATTAATTCTCTGAATCTTACATGCATAGCTATAGATTCTGGTAAATAATAATTCTTCTTTTATTTTCATATTGCAGAGCTCAGTCATCTCACTCATCCGATATATCTGGTGTGGAAAAAATCCATCAGACTCGGAAGTTTATAATGGTAATATTCAATGGAGTAGCTATCAAAGCAAAAACATACAAAAAATATTGATGTACAGGACTACATTTTACACCAAAATACCATAAATGATGCTTGTAAGCGGGGCAACTTTAAAATGAAGAGAGATGAAAAACAATATTGAATAAGACTTCCCTCGCTACTCATTTATGATTATAACACATGAACAAATGATTGTTTGAATGAAATAATGAATGTGTGATTGAACTTCAGCAATGAGATGGATGAATGAACTAATGATCGTCCGAGACTCGAAGTATGGTGTACGAGAGCCCTCCTGTGAGAGGACATTTACTGTAAAGAAGCTGATACCAGGGCCCCAACCCTGGCAGCTTTCAATTGTAAATTTAAATCTGGAACAATAAAAATTTGAAAGAAAAAAAAATGAAAGCATTTCGAGTTTCTCGGCTCCTTTCATAAGATCAGGAGACACCACAAAGAAACCGTAACTGACAATATTTGTCTAAAATTGAGACTTGTATACAGAGAGACTAGTAACTTGTTCTTTGCCTAAACTCCTCGTGGTATGAGGTCATTTATGACGAGAGGCCTTGGAGGGCCCAATATGCCAGTTATTATATTCCAACTTTTATTGGTAACTACATAATGATAAAAGATGAAAGTATATAAATACATGTATACAGCAAGTTTGATTATAAATGTGACTTTGAAATTTGACCTGGTGACATTTAACTGTAGCCATGTGATTCCTTGATGGATTCCAACCAACTCTGCTTCAACAAAATTGACCTCTGTAACCTTCACCTTTGGTTGTGGAACCCCTTGTTCTATCTACATCTATAACATCCAAGTTTAGAGCCATGAGTCTTACAGTGATTCTGTTATTTTTAACAGACCTGTATTAATTTGTATTCTCTTTTATGATAACTTTTCAAATCACAGAATATGTATGCAATCATTATATATATATATATGTAACAGGGTGTACTCGTAATATTAATATGTAAATGTACATTATAGCACAGTGCAATAGAATATAAGATTATATGATACTATATCTGTATAATAACATCGAAGCTTATAAAGCGAAAGTAGAACTAAATAGCGTAGATAGACACCGTTTCACATTTATTGTAAACGTTAGTTTCGTACTTAGTCCGACCCATATATTTTAATACTAATATATTGTATTTTAGGTTTATCTACTGGAATGTAATAAACCAGGTTTATCTACTGGAATGTAATAAACCAGGTTTATCTACTGGAATGTAATAAACCAGGTTTATCTACTGGAATGTAATAAACCAGGTTTATCTACTGGAATGTAATAAACCAGGTTTATCTACTGGAATGTAATAAACCAGGTTTATCTACTGGAATGTAATAAACCAGGTTTATCTACTGGAATGTAATAAACCAGGTTTATCTACTGGAATGTAATACACCAGGTTTATCTACTGGAATGTAATAAACCAATGAACCTAAATCTTGTGCCCGTTGTTACTGAGGAGTGAACGATTTTACATACATGATATAATTATGTGGTTTATGATTGCATAATTTAAATATTGTAGGGCAATTAATATGTGTAACTTGTGTACATTCAAACATTCTGCTTTCTTTATATCACAGTAAATGTAGAAAAGATTAAAACTGGATCTAAAAAGTGATGTTGTGCGTAATAAACACGTCTATAATCAATTGATAGGCCTATTTATCAAAGTTTCAATGACACAGTGTCAATATGCCTGTTTACTTGAAGTTGAAAGTTTCTCTTTGCTTCAAGTTTGGTCTAGATACGTCTTTGGGCCGTTTTAATTATTTAATACACAAGTATTCCTGAAATTGCCAGGCAAAAACTGGTGTTTTCACCAACGATATGCTATGGTTGGTTCAAAATAGTAAATACAACTTTACAAATGAAATGATGACATGGATGACGGGATTTAGATTACCCCTCATGGGGCCCCATCGCTGCATTGGACGACGATTTTCAGTGATTTCCACGTTTATTGACATTATCATCAATACAGTTATATATAACAACAACATATAGGTAGGAATACTACACTTGCATCATACATGACCTTTGAGAACAATTATTTACGTATAATATTGCAGTCTTGTCCGCTAGATGAGTCTGACATGGCCGATAGACGGCGTGCTATTGTTATCTTCACTGCCTCGCTTTCGAAACAACCACGTGACATATATAAATATATCTGTGCTAAATTGACGCGAGGCTTCTGAGATTTCAGTGGTCAAAACTGGACATTGCAAGCAGAACTCGACCATCATATTGCCCTGGTATAACTTTTGGAAGGCCAGAGAACGCATTTAGACCCATTTATTTTGTATTTTTTCCCCGACCAGCCCCTTTAAGTTCCTGTACATATTGTATCCATTTGCATATTTTGTTTGTGCGTCAAATCGTCAACATATTAATTTGCTTAAATTCTATGTGCTAAAATGTCGGTGTGCTAAAATAAGTACGTTTAATTTACAGTAAATAATTTTTTGGACAATTCTTATCAACTTGTACTTCTTGGAGTTCTCCCTAGGCCATTAAGTAGATATGGAGCTGTATCGGCTTCGGGTGGAAATCCTCCCTACCACATCAGCTTAACTCATTCACCCCTGAACACACATTGGAACTCAATCCAATTCAAAGGTTGGAAAAGTTCATTATGAAATTTCCGGGGTGAATGAGTCACCTTCGACCATGAGACGTATCACCTTGTTATTTGTACTGAATGGAGTCTTTTACATTATATTTTGACACCGATTAAATCACAAGGCTGCCCTAGTCTAGCAATGACCACCACTGGTCAGTTGCAAGATGTCGTGTGCCGCAGGGGGCCAGTAATTAGCGGGGGAGGGGGACTGGAGGACATATTTGACAGGTGTTATTCACGCATGTTCAGTCAACCTTAGCTTAAAGCAATCATGTCTGGGTCCTTTTAGCATGGTCAGTAGATGATCAATTTGAGAAATGTATAACAACTGTGTAAGACTTGGAAAACAAGAGCTGTAGGAGAACAGCATAGCTCGTCTATTAAAATCATTTTTGTAACAAGAGTTCCGCGAGACGGTACATGATATGCCCATCAGATGTAGAATGAGCAGTTGGCCACAAAAGGCCATAAGTGCATAAATTTTGGAGAGATAAGCGTCAAATCTACAAGGTGCCATAACTGCATAAATAAACTGCAAATAATTTTGGTTATCGCAAGCTTTCATAGAAATAAACCTTCCTATGAAGTTTCAAATGAATCTAATAAAAATACTGAAGTTATTGAGCGGAAACTGTTATGTCAATTCTACAAAGGGCCATAACTGCATAAATGAGCAGCAAATAATTTTGGTTACCGAACTTGTCCGAGCTTTCATAGAAATAAACCTTCCTATGAAGTTTGAAATGAATCTATTCAAAATTACTCTATTCAAAATTACTCAAGTTATTGAGCAGAAACTAATGTGTGCCCGCCCGCCCGCGTGAAAACATAATACGTACCGTCTTTCGACGGGCGTATAAAAAGTGCTTATAGTAATTGGGCCATTACAGGATGTCCCATCTTAGATAATGGATCAGGAAACTAGAACTACATTGTCAATGGCACACTCCCGCTATCCCCCCAAAGTAACCCCTAACACATCCCCACACGATTACCATATGCAAATATAAATAACTGTAAAATGTAGAACTCAAGGTTAAGACCGTTACTCCCATAACAATTGTTGTAATCTGAAAATACAATGCCGGTGCACAACTACATAATATATACTGATCATTCAAGTGAAGTTTCAGTAAAATCTGCCTGTCGGTTAAGATAAAGTTTTTCGGACAAGTTTACTGTGGACGACAGACATCCAGACAGATGGACAGACCTACATCCAGACAGGGTGGTTCCAGTATACCCGCCAAACTTCGTTGCGGGAGGTATTAAAATATAACTACACCTGTAGTAGAGCTGCTACAATATATCGTGATATATTTTGAACACAGTACAGTACACAGTATTTTATGGGAGGTAATGATACACCTAGGATATTCAGGGTTTTGTCGATTCTGAATTCAATCTGCTCAGATTGGTTCAAGCATGGCTCGTGACAGCTCCAGATCGACATGTACTTGGAAATTCATGAATTATGTGAAACTTTATAAAATTAAGCCTATTTTGGACCAAGTCTATTTACTGTTGTAATATTGCCATTAAAAAATTGCTATACATCTTTTCTCTTTGCTTCTATTGTTACTAATGTATTGTGCTACATATCGAATCATGACGACAGTATGGCGATACGCATTGTGTTGTCATGTTAATGCATCGTTGCAGCCCTATAGTAACCGGAGCTGTTTGTGTGATCAGTCCGTCAAGTTGACAGTCTATTGTTGAAAACCTACCTGATTTATAGTCCAATCAAACATGTCCAACCCAGCTTTGATCTGCTCCAGAAAACAGGAGGCTCCATCTTCAAATGTGCAGGTCACAGGAATACTCCCTGGTAAAATGAACAACCAAATGTATGAATACTTCAGGGTCAATTTAAATTTAATGTATAGTTTGTAATTTCTTTAATTAACTCATTCACTCCTGAAACCAAATTTGAACTCGTCCCTTTCAAAGGGTGGAATAGTTTATTATGAAATATCAGGGGTGACCAAGTTAATCTTACTATATTGGTGGTCACCCAAGATAACAATAAAATAAATATCCAGAAAACACTCATTCACCCCTGAAATTTCATAATGAACTATTCCAACCTTTGAATTGGAAGAGTTCAAATGTGTCTTCAGGGATTGAACAAGTTAATAAAGTGAATTCAGAGATACTAGAAAAGACCTGTTCATTTTACTGCCGAATTATACATTCATGTATATTCCTTACATTTCATTCAGCTTTTCGCAGCGAGTCAGAAATCAAGGCCAGACAAACATGTTGGATGGACAAGCATTAAAAAACCCTCCTGAACCCTTACCATCTGGGCTTTCACACATTACGCCCGTGAATCCTGCAACACAGGTGCAGACGAATCCTACAGCATTGTCATTGGTACAAGTTCCACCATTCCTGCAAGGCATTGCAAGGCATCCTACAAGAAAATAAATCAGTTGTTAATCCTGAATTATTTTGACACTTTCAAGTTTCCAGCTAGAGAGCAAAACTATTTTTTTTGGAAATTATTTTTATCAACGACTCGATACCTAGCCAATATTCAGGGTTTGAGAACAATATTCAACCATATTAACTCGTTCACCCCTGAAATTTCATAATGAACTATTCCATCCTTTGAATTAGAAGAGTTCAGATGTGTCTTCAGGGGTGAATGAGTTAAGGATCCCTGTTCTACTGCAGATATATTTTTTCATATATACAGTATAACCTCCCCTTAATTTTGTTTAAAATATAAATAGTAGCACAGTTGGGCCAGCGTAAACATATTTGCATTGACCAGGTAGCTCAATTGGTTAGAACAATACTGATAACAGTCTGGAGTCTGGGGTTCGAATCCTGGTCTAGCCAAACGGTGTTCCAACATCAAAACTGTTGTTGGTTACATTTTCTTTATTTCATCTTTATTGTTTTCATAGAAGTCCTCCAAGGTATGGTCTTCATTTCAGAATTAATTCATCATAGATTTAGTCATGTCGGAGAAAAGTTTCCAATGTGTCTTTTACAGTTTTTGGCAGTGGTACTGGGATCACCCCTAAAGTGCATTTGAACTCTTCCAATTCAAATGGTGGACTGGTTCATTATGAAATTTCAGGGGTGAATGAGTGATTATTAGCAGTGTTTGAAATATCTGTATTTAAAATTAGTTAAGGTATCAACAATGACCTTGACCTTTGACCTGAAGAATCAAGACAATGCAAGTTATTTTTCTTCTCAATGATGAGTTGCTGATCCTTCATCTTATTTAATTATTAAAATACCATAATTTCATATATTATATAATCATGATCAACCATTGAGGACTATGTTTCTCTTTCCGCCATCATATTATCACCCTTCAGGTCCATCTAACCACATATTCATTTCAACAACACTCCATTGTTGATAAATACTTAATAAGATCACCATGAAAACTGCAGTATATAAATAACATGTTACTCTTATTACTGATGTACTACAAATCCAATATTTATAAATCTTAAATTAGATTTCTTAGCCTGAATTTCGACATTTAAGAATCACATTTAGTCTCTTGTACATGATTTCAATGGTAGCATATTCCCGAGTCAAAGTTCCGATGTGTCATTTTTTTTCGATGGTCCCACAAAGATCAAAGTTTGACAATTCTGAATGCAATATGATACTGTGAAATCACAATTTTTTGTGGGGTTTTAAAATTTCGTTGATTTAGTCACTTCAAATCAATTACAAGTTTGACATAAAGTGGTTTCTGTATCATGCGAGTACTCTTTATCCATGAATTAATGTAATCCCCGATATGGCGTGTTTTGGGAGGGAATACACAAAATTTGGGCAACACAAAAATATGATTTCACAGTATGTTTCAAAATACCAACTTGACAGGTGTTAGATCAACACTACGAAGGGTTCTTTGTGGTGTAGAATAAGTCTACTTGTAAATTCAAGGGTTTTCAAAGCAAACAGTCAATCTTTTTTATCAATTTATCAAATGAAAGGCATAAATGCATTGAAAAGTGACATTTGTGCGACTATAAACCCAGATATGTACTTCTTTATTCTGGTTTAATCTTTCCTGTCACAGTTGTCTCCCTTACCACATGTTCCTGTTTTCAGTTCCACGTCGTCAATAGCAATGTCACCGCTCCAACCATCTCCATGGACTCCAGTGATGTAGATCTACAAAGGCAGAAATAATCAAAAGCAATCAGCAGAGAAATCTCAACAGTAATAGTATAAGCATCCTCAATACTTTAGGGGTTATGCTTATTTTCGCCAATTGCTGCACGCCTGGATTATGTGAAGGCCAAATTGAAGGCTCGTGTCCACTACATTTTGGATGAGACTAGGAGACTAGTTTGATCCCTTGGTGTACATCAAAAGAATCGAGGCTGCGCAAGAGCCAGGGTGCAGAGAACAAAAGTGAGTATAACCGAGGCAAATAAAGAGTCTCTTAACATCGTAACATGATAAAGACCTAAGGTGGTCTGCTATTTTATCTGGCAAAGATGTCACAGTCCGCCCGTGTGAACAGTTGCTGCTTCAAGCCATGTCGGATTCCAACTGCTCTTCATTTTGCTTACAAATGCAACATTTGACACCGATAAAGTTATAATATTCATTCTGCAAGGGCTATACCCCAAACCTTTTGGCTGCAATGATATGCATACCTCACGATAAAATACATATTGCGATACAATGCTTATAATATACGTTACCTATCATGATACAAATATGATTGAGTGCTGGATTTTATCGAGTTTTTGTCCAGTAAAGACTATGGATATACATTTTTGAATAATTTTTAGTACTTTCGGGTATGACTGCACAGTAGACCACATCATCTTTACTGAAGGATTCAAAAAATATCAGTACACTTTTTTTAGAATTTGATAAAAATTGATTGATAATTGAAATACTGTTGTATCACGATAGAGGCAAATAAAACAATTTGATACAATACACAAGTATCGTGATATGAAATGATATATCATTGCAGTTCTACCAGACAATTATACAAGAGGCCCTAGGGCCTTCACGGTCACCTGATATATTTATACAGAGAGTTGATTTTGTTTTTAACATGAACAGAAATATTATTCAAAGTGACAAAATAAAATAGAAACCACCTTATTCAATATCTAGCATACAGATTTAAGACTAAAAAGTATTTGAAACTAGGTCCTCTGATTCTAAACAAGGAAAATTAAGAAATTTTAGCACACTGACTCCTTTGGGCCCCACCCTACAGCCCTTGGGGGTAGGGCTGGCTCAAAATTTCCAAGTATCAAACTCAACTCAGGTTTATAATTCCAATTAAGTTATTAATTTTGGTTACTGAGAAGAAGTTGCTTAAAGTAAAAAGTTGACGCCGGACCATGCCATAAGCTCACTTGGCCCTTCGGTGAGCTAAAAATGACCCTGCATTTTCAAAATTTCAGTCTTTATTTGTCCAATGGGATTAAAAAGCATGTTTATACAGGTTTCCAGTCTTTATAATTGTGCAATGTTCAAAATATTACCATCCTAGAAGGGGCATTCAAAATACATAAATAACGAAAATTTGAAATTGAATAAACAAAAGCACTGATAAACTAATGTTTATTTTTTGCCATAAATTTTACTGTAAGAAACAGCTACAGTATTGTAGAGGACATTTTGCTAATCACATTATTTTTGTACAATTGTGGGATCACTGATAATATTTTCCAATTTTTGTCAAATGCTGGCAATATTTTCCGAATTCCTGCTCAGGAGCATTTTTCCCAAAATAGCTGGCAAAACCCCCGATTTCAAAAGGAGGTAATAAGTGGTATTTTCCCATAATGCATCACTGTACAAACCTGTCCATTGTTCATAGCAGGGATTTGCACAGATGCTGTCTCCCAGTTGTTTCCCTGGTTTCCAGCTTGTGACCATAATGTCACAACCTGCTGACCATCCAAGTGAGAAATCTTCAGACTGCCAATGTGGATTCCATACATGTGATAGGCAAAGGAAAGACAGCGCTGAGCAGCTGTAAGCACACATCAAAATAAACATATACCACAAGATTTTCTTCTGGAAAGCTAAAAGAGGTCTGCTAAAGAGTACATACAGGTTGATTTATGTTTGAAGGAATATCATGTTTCAACTCATTCTCCCCTGAAATTTCATAATGAACTAATCCAAGCTTTTAATTGGAAGAGTTCAAATGCGTCTTCAGGGGTGAATGAATTCAATATATACAGCCTGTAAGTAGTCTAAATATTATCCAATATATTCGGTTTGTGTAAGGGATTGTTTCTACAAGCAGTTGACTTGTATGTTCACTTATATCTGTTGTTCAAGCATAAATTTACCCCAAAAACTATCAAGTTTCTGTTTTACCTGCATTAAATGTACCCCCTACCATAAACAGTACAGATTCTTTTTCACAACAATAAATGTTGACCTTGAAAACTTTTTAAACCCATTGCACCTCTACATAACAGTGTATATCCCCTCTACATAACAGTGTATATCCCCTCTACATAACAGTGTATATCCCCATGTCAAATTTCAAGAAGAATCTCTTGGATTCTGAGATAAAGACTGTAGCTCTCATGATCTATTTTCAGTATGTGACATTGACCTAAATAACATTTTAAACCCATTTTGATCTACATATCACAGTGTATCACCATATCAAATTTCAACAAGATTGGTATTTTGGATTCTGAGATTATCTCCGGAAACGAAAGTGTGGCTGGACAGACAGATAGACACCGGAGTGCATCTCTGATGAACCCCACCCTCACTCCCCATATAAAGAGCACCCTCCATCTTATCTGCAAATTAAAGACAAATGTATTTTACTCCTACCACTAATTCTTTTTCTGACCCCAAAATGACGTAATGAATGGATTGTTTACACATAAATCAATCAACACAATTAACGATAATAGGAGTACCGCGGGGCGGAACAATATACGCCCGTCGAATGCTATAGTGTTATATACTTTCTTACATTGAAATAAGATCTGCATCATTCTAAGAGTGGTTAGCCGACATGCTATAAAAAATCTAGGAGAAAATCTCCGGACAAAAAATCAAATACTGAAATGGAACAAAGGGCAATTACTTTTACAAAAATCGTTGAATCAAAATTCTTTTAAGGGAGACACAACTTCATATCATGATTATAATGTATACCAAGTTTCAAAGAGAGTCGTTGAAAAATGTCGGAAGAGAGTGCCGGACAAAAATCAAATAATAAAATAAACAAAGGGCAACAACTTTTGCAAAAATTGTTGAATCAAAATTCTTTTCAAAGAAACCCAACATATCATGATTATTAAGCCTACTAAGTTTCAAAGAAATCCGTCAAAAAAATGAAGGAGGAGATCTCTGGACAAAAAATAAAATACTGAAATGAACAAAGGGCAATAACTTTTGGAAAAATTGGCGAATCAATTCTTTTGAGGAGGCTCAACCCTTTCGCAATTAGCTAGCAGAATTCAATGAAAGTTTCACATAATGGTTATGTCACTATGTAGAGATGATTTTATGAAAATCTAAGCATTCCGAAAAAACTGGGTATTTTTGTAAAAAATACCAAAAAATTACTTTCACATTCTTAATCATGTACACTTTGGACATCATTCCATAGCCCGCTTACGCATGGTATATTAACATGTCAGGTACATATGTAACCATAGGCTATCGCATGGTATGCCATTATTACGTGCACGCACATGTGCTTGCATTTTATAGTGATCTTGATATTTTGCAAACCACTATTTTCACAGAGTTATTGTAATTGCATTTGTGAACCGATTTATCTGACAGAGCGTAACTCGCCGACAACAAAAGTCATAGCAACCAAGAGATTGTAAACTGCTGTTAGCATCCGATATGTACAGGTGAGGTCGGTAAACAAAAACACATCAGTCTGCATTCCATGCGCCTCATATACGACCTTCAAGTCGTCTGATCGTATTTGTCAGTGTTTTCCCGTGAGTTAATTAATGTCTTTGTATCATAAGCTTTATTTTAGGAGTACGTGTGATTACACATTTCCAAGTTAAGTCTCGATATCGGGTGTTGACATATCATAGTCACGCATGTGTACTATTGTTTACCCGGTGTTACTATAATTTACACTACGGTAATGGAATGCCCGATACGCAATACGGAAATTACGACACGAAAATACGACAAGAAAAACATGTGTATTACGAAGGATGGGAAGTCCTTAAGGTGGCTCCACACATCGTCATCAGCGTCCATTTTCATGACGTACTTCCGGAAAAGTACAGCTCGGACTCAATTATCTTGATCAAAATGTGCATGTACACCGTGTCGTCATTTCCGTAATGCGTATCGGGCATTCAATATCGTAGTGCAAATTATAGTAACACCTGGGCCGTTTTCGTTTAAACATCAAACCGATCGGACCACTGTTGTTCATTTATTAAATAAGGTCTGACCTAGTAATCTGATGCTGCTTTTAGGCGAGCCTTGAGAAAGCCTTGCAAGGCCTGCATACCCATTTGCAGGTTCGCCAGGATTTATACCCGAAATTTTTACATTTATAAACGGTCAAACCGGT